AAGTTCTTTTGGGATGGGCATCCTGTATCACGATTTGCTGAGCTGTGTGTGACTTTACTCTCCCACAATTTTCCTTGTCCTTATTTCTTCATTCCACCAAGATGTCATACGACTGACACTTGGTGCTACTACATCGTTTCCATATTGTATGCTCCTGTTAATGTTTCATTAGACAGTAACAACTTGATACTTTGGTACCAACAAGAGCAAGTATAGCCCTAGCCCAGGGGTGGGCAACACCTGGCACATGTGCCAAACATGGCACGCCAGTAACTTTTGCTGGCACGTGAAACCCTCTCTTATAATCTTCCATTTACAATTTTTTTCTTAATATTGACTTTTTTATTTTTCAGATAAATTCAGTGTAGGTGCATCTTAGGTAAATAAATCATTTTACATAACAAGTTATCTTAAAGACCATAGACATGGATTGACGAGAGAGGGGAAGAGCGATTCCTATGCCTCTGCCTTAACTCTCCCTGCCTTCCTAGATCCAACCAGTGTTTTGGTTTCATCCACATACGCTTGTGAATCTTTGTTCTCAGTGATGAATTTTGTTTTTCCGGTTGGGTGTTTTTTGCTTCTTCGCATTTCAAATCTTTGACTTGATTCTTGTGCTCCTCTGGTCTGCTGTTGGGTGTCTGTATAATATTCTTTATTATTATTATTATTAATTACTGCTTAGGGGTTAGTGCCACTATGATCTTAGTTAGCATAGAGTGGGCATCAGTTTGACTTCCAGGACCAGATGTAATGGACATCACCTCTTCTCGTGTGGTACTGTACACCATTGTGGGTGTGTCCATGTCAGTACGTCCAAGCCGCGCCTCTTCTGGGGAGGTTTTGAGACAGCATCTTCGACCTCTTTGTCAGTGAGTGTTGATAGAGATTCCTTAGTTGATCGGTAGTCCCTGAAAGTCCCATCAATTTGTCGTTTTCTCGTGTTTGCCACTTTGCACAAGTTAGGAAACCGAACAGGTGCCAACAGCTCATGTCCGTGAAGCTTTAATGTTCTTCCTTAAGTTCCCGTTCAACTTGGAGGAAAGCCTTGATCTCTGTTGCAACACCAGGCAGCATAGCACCGTAAGAAAGTCCTTCGTTAATGAAGGATTTCATTGTCATGTAGGGTGTCATCTCTGCGTATGTTGCCACCAACTTAATCTGCCCAATTAAAGCTTTCCCTGTACGCCTGGTTGTGCTGTGATCTCAAGTTCAAGCAAGCCTTTGACTATGAGCGTATCAAAGCTGCTGAGGTTAACCATATTGCAGCATCCTTAAAGTGAAACATTGGATTAACTTCTACAATCGGAGGCTGGAGCCCTTGTTTGACTGTGGTGTACATCGCATTGAATCTCTTGGTGACCTGGGCCATGGGATTTTGTTGTGGCTTCCTCACAAGATGATAGAGAAGTGCTATGGTCGATTTTAATATAACATTGATATCATTTGGAGTCACAGTAACATGGTCCATGGTCCAGCTGAGTTCTTTCCCTTCGTTGTTTGGGACACCCCTTGACCCGGCTATGTATTGGCTTAACGGGGTAGCATAGAGGGCAGGAAAGGCTGCAAGTAGTAAGTTTACAACCACAGCGATGCTTTCACCAAGAGTATACTTGACAAAGAGTATACTTGACATATCAGTATGCTGGATAGCCAATACTGCTGCCTTCAGCACATTCTCCTGCTGAGGAAGGGCAATTGCTTTTGCAACTGTGTCTCCTATCTCTAAAGAGGATGCCATTGTGTCCTGTATAATATTCTTTATTTCAGTCAATGTATACTTAATTTCTAGTTGGTTCTTTATCACAACATCGAGGGTGTCATTAGATTTCTTGTAGATCTCATTAAGTTTATCGGCAGCTTCTAGAAAATTATTGAAAGACCTGCCGAAACCGGTTTGGCTCAGTGGATAGAGCGTCGG